GCACTTTCACAACATTTTTGTGAAATGGCTGCAAAGACCAGTTCGTCTTTATGCTGCATTTCTGAAATCATTCACGAAACTGGCCTCGTCCCTCATATATGAGAGCTTTCAGAAAAGAATTGAGCATTGAGGTATGAAACAGAATTCAGCTGTGTTGACCTGGAGCATTTTCTAAACATGGTGAATTAACTAAACATAAAGTTTATGTGCTTCATCATCGATTTAGCCTTAAATAAAACAGTTTGTTGTGGTTTAATCCCACGAATGGGTGGTTGCATAGACTGTATGTGATCACTTCAGTAAGTCAGCTCACATCTTCACATATTGAGAGTAACAGCTTTTTTACAAATTCAATTTACAGCACAAGACACATCAGGAGAGGGTTGGCTTCAGCTCCCTTCACCACCTCGGTCCATTCAGAAATCCCCCGAAACAGTCAGAAGATGTCTAACAGTTTTGGAGCTAGTGAAGTTATTCTGATTGCAGTTGTAGAAAGATCATCTTTTTGTATCGTTATGATTTGTATTTGGCTGTTTTTTTGGTAGTATTTTGTGTTATTGGGTTTATTTCTTTTTTGATAATTTTTTTTGTTGTTGTTGATTTGCTTCTGTCCCTCTGTGTTTCCCTCTGCCAACGGTTCATTTTCCTCAGCACTTTCCCCCTCTGTTTCTGCTCCTCAGCTCCTGTCTTGCCCACCCACACCTGTTCCTCGTTTCATTAAGCTCAGCTGTCTGTCATTTCGCCCTGAGTTCCTGTCCATTTATCCCCTCTGTCCCCATTCTTCAGAAGTAGAGCATTGTATGTACTAACATACGTGTTCTTCTAATGTTGTTTGTAAGTTTTTGCTTCCTGGTCCATTTGGGCTCTTGGCACCAGGACACCCTAGGCCGCAATTCGTTGATCGACTTTGTTGTTGTCTCATCTGACCTTACGACCACATGTCTTGGACACTCGAGTGAAGAGAGGGGCGGAGCTGTCCACTGATCACTATCTGGTGGTGAGTTGACTCCGATGGTGGGGAACGATGCCGGTCAGGCCTGGCAGACACAAACGTATTGTGAGGGTTTGCTGGGAATATCTGGCAGAGTCTCCTGTGAGACAGAGCTTTAACTTCCACCTTTGGGAGAACTTCGAACATGTTCCGGGGGAGGTGGGGGACATTGAGTCCGAGTGGGCCATGTTCCATGCCTCTATTGTCGAGGCGGCTTACCGGAGCTGCGGCCGCAAGGTTGTCGGTGCCTGTCGTGGCGGTAACCCTCAAACCCGGTGGTGGACGCCGTCAGTGAGGGATGCTGTCAGGCTGAAGAAGGAGTCCTATTGGGCCTTTTTGGCCTGTGGGACCCCGGAAGCAGCTGATGGGTACCGGCAGTCCAAGTGACATGCGGCTCGGTTGGTTGCTGAGGCAAAAACTCAGGCATGGGAGGAGTTCAGAGAGGCCATGGAGAATGACTTCCGCATGGCTTTGAGGCGATTCTGGTCCACCACCCGGCGTCTTGGGGGGGAAAGCGGTACACCACCAACACTGTTTATAGTGGGGGTGGTGTGTTGCTGACCTCAACTCGGGATGTCGTGGGTTGGTGGGCAGAATACTTTGAAGACCTCCTCAATCCCACCGGCACGTCTTCCACTGAGGAAGCGGAGCCTGGGGACTCTGGGTCGGGCCCTCCAATCTCTGGTGCTGAGGTCACCGAGGTGGTTAAAAAGCTCCTCAGTGGCAGGGCCCCAGGGGTGGATGAGATTCGCCCGGAGTATCTTAAGGTTCTGGATGTTGTAGGGTTGTGTTGTCTTATGCGACTGCAATATTGCGTGGACATCGGGGGAAGTTCCCCTGGATTAGCAGACTGGGGTGGTGGTCCCCCTATTCAAAAAGGGGGACCGTAGAGTGTGTTCCAACTACAGGGGGATCACGCTCTTAAGCCTCCCTGGTAAGGTCTATTCGGGGGTTCTGGAGAGGAGGGTCCGTCGGATAGTTGAACCTCGGATTCAGGAGGAGCAGTGCGGTTTTCGTCCTGGTCGTGGAACACTGGACCAGCTCTACACTCTCAGCAGGGTCCTGGAGGTTGCATGGGAGTTTGCCCAACCGGTCTACATGTGCTTTGTGGACTTGGAGAAGGCGTTCGACCGGATCCCTCGAGGAACCCTGTGGGGAGTACTCTGGGAGTATGGGGTACCGGGCCCTTTGATACAGGCTGTTAGGTCCCTGTATGACCAGTGTCAGAGCCTGGTCCGCATTGCCGCCAGTAAGTTGGGCTTGTTCCCGGTGAGAGTTGGACTCAGCCAAGGTTGTTCTTTGTCACCGATTCTGTTCATAACTTTTACTGACAGAATTTCTAGGCACAGCCAAGGTGTTGAGGGGATCCATTTTGGTGGCCTTAGGATTGCGTCTCTGCTTTTTGCAGATTATGTGGTCCTGTTGGCTTCATCAGATCGTGATCTACAGCTTTCGCTGGAGTGGTTCGCAGCCGAGTGCGACACGGCCGGGATGAAGATCAGTTCCTCCAAATCGGAGGCCATGGTCTTGAGCCGGAACAGGGTAGTGTCCTCTCCGGGTCAGGGAGGAGATCCTGCCCCAAGTGGACGAGTTCAAGTATCTTGGGGTCTTGTTCACGAATGAGGGAAAAATGGAACGTGAGATCGATAGGCGGATAGGTGTAGCGTCTGCAGTGAAGCGGACGCTGTACAGGTCTGTCGTGGTGAAGAGAGAGCTGAGTCAAAAGGCGAAGCTCTCAATTTACCGATCGATCTACGTTCCCAACCTCATCTATGGTCATGAGCTATGGGTTGTGACCGAAAGAACGAGATCTCGGATACAAGTGGCCGAAATGAGTTTTCTCCGCAGGGTGTCTGGGCTCTCCCTTAGAGATAGGGCAAGAAGCTCGATCATCCGGGAGGGACTCAGAGTAGAGCCGCTGCTTCTCCACGTCGAGAGGAGCCAGTTGAGGTGGCTCGGGCATCTGTTTAGGATGCCTCCTGGATGCCTCCTTGGTGAGGTGTTCCAGACACGTCCCACCGGGAGGAGACCCAGAGGAAGACCCAGGACACGCTGGAGGGACTATGTTTCTCGGCTGGCCTGGGAATGCCTCGGGATGCCCCCGGAGGAGCTGGACCAAGTGGCTGGGGAGAGGGAAGTTTGGGCCTCCCTACTTAGGCTGCTACCCCCGCGACCCGACCCCGGATAAGCGGAAGAAAATGGATGGATGCATGGATGGATGCTTTCTGGTCATCCAGTTTGTTTTGTTTGTTAAATAAATTTAAGTTTTATTTTTCTCAAGCTCCTTCTATCAGTTTGCCTTCCTGGGTCTGTATCCTCTACAAATCATGACAAATATTTTCTCAACAAATCAAGCTGTTCTCATGATCTTTACAACCTTGTGAGCAAACACCCATATGGTGCCATGCTTGATCTGTTGATGGATTAGACAGTAAATCTGCTGCTAGTTTGATCAAAGCGTCAGGTCTCAGGCCGGCATGGGTCTGTCTACAGGGAGACCCCTGTGATAAAATGGATTTGGTGGATGAGGACTTTTATTTTCTTTGATACAAATATGACTACCGGTAATGTATGACAGGTGAGAAAAATGTTTTTCTCCAGTGTTGGAAAAGGAGTTGATCTCAGTATGCCCACCCCCACAGGAAGCAATCATGTAAGAGGCTTTCATTAGTATGACTACTGTTGGAAAACCCAACAGCTGCTGAAGGCTCACACTCCTCAAATGATTACTGAAAGGGAAACAGACATAAAAGCCAGCTTTGCGTCATGCTTGAATAAGAAAACTTGTTTTTCTGCGGGAAAAAATGACAAAAAGACAAACTATCAAAATTAATTAAAATTAATTAAAGCCTCCACTCTCTCTCTCTCTCTCCTCCATCTCTGGGTGGTTTGAGTTGCTTCTCTTGGCAAAAACTGAAATAATGTGGTCTGTCCACTGGGTTCCTTGTGGTCAGGGTTTTCTTTGTGGAGGTTTTCAGAACCCAAAATGCAGATAGACACAAAAAGGCCCAGAAGTAAAACTGAAACTGGTTAAATCATCAAAGAAACAAGCTACCAGCAGAAAACAGTTGGGGGTTTTTCCCCACTGAAAAAAAAAGGTATGTTGGAGCTAACATGGGCAGTCATGGAAGATGCAGGTCACTGACAGGGACGTAACACAATGACAAAGAATATAAAGAAACACTCATGACAGACAATTATCAACACCTGGGGGAGGACCACGAGGATCAGGTGAGAGCAGGAGGGGCAGGAGCTGAACTATATGAGGGGAAGCTGGAGAAACAAGTATAACAAATCACAGAACTAATCATGTCAGGCTGTGGATCCTCTCCATTTTTTGGTGCTGGCTTGGTGTTCCCACCTGAACCCATCAATGAACAACTCTTCTCCTCCTTTAGTCTACACAGTTTCATCTGCTTCTTGGAGGAATTCAAGAACCTTCAACACTGTTGGGTTCTTCTTTAGAATTGTGCATTATATCACAGTTTTTAGAGGCTTGACCCACGAATGCAGACAAGCACAAAAATAGCTTGAAAAAAAAAAAACTAATTTATTTATATATCTTTTAAACAAACAAACAAAAAAATACTTTCATGGCAGCAAAGACCAAGCTAAGATGCAGTGAAGCACTGGGAAAATAGAGGAGGCACAGGAGAACCAAACCTGGTGAAGGAATGTATAATGCTCAACTCATAGACGTCGCAACAATTGCCTGATGGCACAGAAGAACCAAAGAATGCAGACTGTAGCAACACCAATCTGTACATCCCCACGTTCTCACATTTAAAAAAATTCTCATTTGGACCCCCCACATTTATCATGAAATATTAGTTCACCCAGCGCTGTTGCTATTTCTTCCTGAACGAATCCATTCCACTACTCAAACCACTAAAGTCCACTCCGGGTTTTCCTGGTTACCTACGACAACTCATCACGTCGCATGTATTGTTTCCCCGAGGTCACTTGACAGAGCCGAGCAAGAAGGTGGAAACACTTGTGTATTGCTTACCTGCAAATGCTGGCCTCATGGTGAAGTCATGTTCATCAATACGTAGGAGGTGGCTGGTTTTCAGTTTTTGGGCTTTGGTGCCATCCATAATCTTCTTTGATAGAAGCCTGGCGAAGGGCAAACAAACAGAAAAATATGGATACAGAAAAGAAGAGATCTCAAGTCTTTTCATAACAACTGATGTTCATGTTAAAAACAAAAACAGTTGTTGCTTTTGTTTATTCTTATCAACAAAAAGAACAAAATGCTCAAAGCATAACCAAAACTAATACGCTGAATAAATGGTAAATGGACGATACTTATATAGCACCTTTCTATCTAATCAAGATGCTCAAAGCTCTTTACAACACAATCTGTGTCCTCATTTACCCATTCATACAACACTCTACTAGATCTATACAAAGAATAATCAGAGCTTTATCACATTCATACACTGATGGGACACATATCGGAGGCAATGAGGGGTTCAGTGTCTTGCCTAGAAACACTTCAGGATGTGAACAAAAAAGGTTGAATCATGTCATCTGGACTTCGTTTTTTGTTAAAAAGAAACGTTTCGCCCCTCATCCAAGAGGCTTCGTTGGTCTGAGGCCTAGCCATCTGGTATTACCCAGAAGCCACCCTGACTCTTGTGTTTCAAGCCTGCCTCAGATACCCCTGAAGTCTGGCCTTTTCACTAATGGTTTCAAAAACACAAAGTTTGTTTTCTCAGTCATCCAGGTATATAACAACAAAAAAGGTTGAATCATGTCATCTGGACTTCGTTTTTTGTTAAAAAGAAACGTTTCGCCCCTCATCCAAGAGGCTTCGTCGGTCTGAGGCCTAGCCATCTGGTATTACCCAGAAGCCACCCTGCACAACAGGAAGTGATGTCATAGGGGGGACACCTGCATGTGAACAGTGTTGCTACAATGGTGTCATGAAGTGAGGAGAACGTGTCACTCTTCTTCCTCTTAATTACAGGGACTTTTACAATGGCTGATGAAGAAGATTCTGATGTTTCTTTAGATGATTTTGAGACATTATCAGATTGAAACGGAGAGTCAAAGATCAAATAATATTGTTTCAATAAAATGAGACCGGGGAGTTCCCCTTTTTAAACTTCCTGTTTCACTTTGACTGCACCAAGTTCAACAGAATATAAGCCAGTTCTGTGACATAATGGGTAAAATCATGTGTATTATGCTAAATTTCTTAGATATTAAGATGTTTTCGTCCACGTTTTCTAATTGTATAGTATGCAGGTCACAGGTACTGCAGCAGATCATTACTAGTCAATGAAGGGTTTTTGTTTGTTTACTTGTAATGTCCACCAGTAAACATTTAATTTGTATATGTGTGTGTAAATGATTCTAAATATAAGCCTTTAGTACTAAAAAGCCCCACAGTCCCACGGGGTTTCACCCATCGTTAGCGGGTGCACCATACACCACAGGTCACCAGTATGTCCAGGTCAGTACAAGCGAAAAACAATTTAGAAACTAGCGTTACTACCACGAGTAGAGTTAAAAACAAAAGGTCTCACTCCCTCCTGTAAATATACAACGATCATGACTCTTCTGTTAAGGGAGTCTTTATCCATCCATCCATTATCTTTACCCACTTCATCTTTTTCGGATCACGGGGGTCACTAGTGCCCTTGTCCAGCTTTCACTGTGTGAGTGGCAGGAACACCCACATGTCTCCAGTCCATCACAGGGACACATACAGTAAATACAAATGAGACAAACAACCATTCACTCTCTCACTCACCTACAGACAATTTAGAGTTACCAATCAGTCTAACATGCATGTTTTTGGTCTGTGGGAGGAAACTGGAGTACCTGGAGAAAACCCACACATGCATGGAGAGAACATACAAACTGCACCCAGAAAGGCCCCTGGCCGGGACTTGAACCAGCGACCTTTTCACTGGGAGGTGGCAGCTCTACCAACTGCTCCACCGTGGTCCATGCTGCCGGCTTTATTCATCTAACAGATTTGATGGAAATGATGATGGAAATAATGTTGGACCTGTTCCTGTTTCTCCTGAAATCTACAATCATCTCCTTTGTTTTGTTCACATTCAATATGAGATGATTGTTTCCACACCATGCCACAGCAGTCCACCAGTTCCCTGTACTCAGCTTCTTGTCCATCTATGATACACCTGACTACTGCAGAGTCATCTGAATATTTCTCCAGATGACAGGATTCTGTTTTGTACTGGAAATCTGAGGTGTACAGAGTGAAAAGGAATGGTGAGAGTACAGTGCCCCGTGGTGCTCCTGAGCTACTGACCACCTGGTTAGACACACAACCCTTCAGTCTCACAAACTGTGGTCTCTTTGTCAGGTAGTCTTTGATCCAGGTGATTGTTAAGGCTCTTTGTTTGACCCTACATATATAAAAAGTGGTTTTTAATAAAGTTGGACTCACCTCGGCAGCAGTTTCCTTTGATAAGGCTACTAATAATAAACAGAACTCACTGAAAATGTGAAAAGTGCAGTTTATGTACAATGAAAACCTTTGTCAGTGTTTCTGCCTCTGTCTAATAAACTGAAGCACATCTCTGAATTAGCTGTAGTTCTTCCAACATGCTGAATATTAGAGCTTTTGTTTTTATTTTTAAACATAAATAATCACAGCTCCATATAATTGTGTAAATTTTTATAAAACAGTCACACTAATGTGATCCATTGCCCTTGGGTACATTTTTCGGTGCATTTCTTCCAGCTACTTTCAGTTGATTTTTCAGCTGTTCTGTGCTCCTTTCAGATTCTTTCTGCTAACTACAACATTTTTATGCTTCTTCTACCTTCTTTCTGCTACTTTCAGCTTGGTCTGCTTCTTTCAGCTTCTTTCTGCAAGTTCCAGCTTTTTCATCTTATACTAATTTAAGCATTTTCAGCAAATTTCACAGTTTTTGCACTCATTTCAACGCTTTTCAGCCTAATTCAGAAAAAAGTGTGCTCTCTCCACTTCCTTCTGGTAATTGAAGCTTATTTTTGCATTTTTAGCTACTTTTCGGCTGTTTTTTTGTTTGTTAATTTAATCATTTTTCAAATAATTTCTCATTTTTATGCCCATTTCTGCTTTTTTTTTAACCTAATTGGACAAATGTGTTCTTTCTGCTTTCTTCTGCTAATATAAAGTTGCGCTACATTTTCAGCTATCTTTTCAGAAAATGTTTAGTTAATTTCAGCTGTTTTCAAATAAATTTAACTTTTTCTTGGTAATTTCTGCTACTTTCAGCCTAATTAACTAATTTCTGCTAATTTCAACTTGTTATGCTCCTTTCAGCTTTTTTCAGCTAGTTACAGCTTTTTCAGCTATTTCAGCTACTAGCCATTTTATGCAAATTTTAGCTTTTTCAGGTAATTCAACATTTTTTAGCGCATTTCAGCTCTTTCCACTTCCTTCTCGAAGGTTAAGCTTCTTTCTGCCTTTTCGGCTACTTTTTAGATGTTTTTGTTGTTGTTGTTGTTTTTGTTGCTAATTTTAGTGGGGGGTTTTTTAGCTGATTTTCCAATTTTTGTGCTCATTGCTTCTTATTCAAACCTTATTTAGCAAATATGTGTTTGTTCTGCTTTCTTCTGTTAATATAGGCTTGCTCTTTCATTTCAGCATGTTTTTTTCTTAGCCAATTTCAATGGTTTTCAGCAAGTTCTTCTGCAATAAGCATATACACTGCATTTTCACAGGAAATGCAATATTAATTTTGTCCTGCTGATGGACTTTAAACTTTTACTTTGCGCTTTAATCTTGAAATCGTTGTTAGCATTTTATATTGTGGGATCCAATAAAAGCCAAACACTGACTGATAAAAACATAAAACTGTTTGTTGGATTTGATTTAGTCGATATAGAAATAAATATATTCGTTAGTGGCAGCCCAAAATGATGTAATCCTCCACTGGCCTGCTTTTAGCTTCTCACAGCTGGTCCAGATCTCTGAACCGGATCCAACAGGGAAACGCATGACTCTGGTTCTGATGTGGTTCTGGTTCTGGTTAAATCTTCGGTTTTCAGGACCAGGATGATCTCCTCCTTGGGTCCTCAGCTCCTCAAAGCAAAACATTTCAGAAGACCTGGTCTAAAACTGGAAGGACCGTCCGTCGGACTGACACTTTAGCTTCTTTTAAAAAGTAGCTGAAAACTTCTTTAAATGTAGACTTGCTTTGGTTTAAAAGCTTTTTTGTTGTTTTTAAATCCTCTTTTTATCAAATGCAGTTAAGAAATTGAAGGCGGAGCAATAATGTTTTCATCAGTGTGTGTTTTTGAGCACCTTTGTTAGAAAAATATCACGAACCACTAAATATTTTAATGAAACTTTCAGAAAGTCATCAGTGGATGTAAATCTACAACGATTAACTGCTGGAGTCAACTTGATTAAAGATGGCCGTCGCAGCACCTGACATTAGAAAACAAAAAGATAGCTAACAGTCAGTTTGACAGACACTGAGCTAAGATTTGATGTGGTAGTAGCGGAGAGTCATCCCTGACACACAAGCTGTGACTCCTGATAATATCACATGACATTATGTATTTCTGTGTCAGTGGCGGTTCTATACCAGCTTTGCTGAGGGGGCCTGGCTGGGGCCAGAGGTTTTGTCAGAGAGGCACATTCAATTTATTATTAATTTATTATGTTATTAATTTATTATTTTAATTTATTTATTTATTGCATTTTTATTGTAATCAGTACATTCTTTCATTGTATTCTAAAGTGCTATGCATTCTAAGACTGCAAATTAGCTGAAGCTAGATGTCTTATATGAATCACATTTTCCCATTTTAAAGGCAATGTTGTATGTATTGTCCCTGTTAAATAAACAACAAACAAATGTTTTGTTTTGAATCAATCAATCAATCAATCAGAAATACACAGAATGGGTGTTTCTGATATTGTTGTGTATTTTATATCAGGCTGTTTTATCTGTGAAGCTGTTTGAAATCAACTTTTCTAACTCAGTGCTGAAGAAGACCAAAGAAGACTTACAGTCCTGCAGACCAGCGCTTGCTTCTGCCTCTGGGCCTCCGGGAGTCCACGAACAGGATCAGGGTCACCCACAGGACAAATATCTGCAGGAACCTGCCAGAGCACGACATGATGATGAGCGAGGCTGGCTGAGACCTTCGCTTCCTGAGGGGGCTCTGAGAGCACGAGCATCCCCTCCTGACAGCTCCCAGACTCGGCTGAACAAGAGCCGCTCACACCGGCAGCTCTTGGCCAAGAGGTGGAGGGATGCAGCCAAAGGCGAGCTGTGATTGGTCCTTAGACTCAAGAGGGGTGGGGTCTGACTGGTCCTGAGCCTAGGGAGGGGCGGGCTCACTTGTGCAGATACAGTTCAGTTGATGCTCTGCTAAGTCAAGATGTCCTCAGCTTTAACATCCTAGGACCTGGCATCCACATATGTTGAGGAGGACACACTCCAACATTTTTCAGTCAGGTCATCTGGACAGTTTCTTTATT